GTTGGGGCGCGGCGGCGGCGGGAGGCGGCCGGAGGCAGGGCCGGTCCCCCGAGAAGGTCTCCCTGGAGCCGGAGAGTTCCTCGCTCAGACCAAGTACGTCGTGGGGAAGGAGGGACCCGGGAGCCCAGATCCTGGCACCGCTGAGACTCCGAGTCCGCCTGCGGCAGCTGCTGGAGCCCCGCGGCGGTGGCTGGGTCGGCTCGCCGGGTTCTGCTGACTCCCCAGGGGCCTGGTTACCAGCGGACGGCGGCACCGCGCTCCCTCCCCGCCCAGCACCCCCGCACCCCCGCTTTTCCCACGGCAAGCCTGCCGGTCCTCGCCCTCCTCCCAGCCCGATGCGTGGAACCTGTGGAGATGCAGATGTCTCCGCCAGTGGACCGCTTCCTTCTTCTCCTGGCCTGGAAAATCGCCACCCCTGACCCCGCACCTTGGGGTCGGGCACCTGTGGCTGCGCTCCCGGGACCAGCGTCTATCCCTGGTACTTAGGCTAGACATCCCTCCTGGACTCCAGTGTGCGCACAGCACGGGCTATAGGTGCATTGCCCGGTGTGGAACCCTGGCGGACGGTGGGTGACTTGTCCACTGCAAACGGAAAGGTCAGCGGTTCAAACCTACCAGCCGCTCTGTGGGATAAAGACATGGCACTAGGCTACCCTAAAGATTTACCGCTTTGGAACCCAAAAGGGCAGCTCTGCTCTGCCCTAGAGGGTCTCTGTGACTTTGAATGGGTTGGCATGTAATGGTTTGTTTTGGCTTTGCTTTGGTTTTCAGAGCTAAAGAGAAACGCCCCGTGGTCACTTATTTGTTGTGACCTACAGATAGATGATGTACACATTCTAGATAGGTGAAGCTGTGAACGGCAAAATGACATTTCCTCTCTCCATTCCATCTTTCCTCTACCTCGATGCCCCCCCCCACACACACACCTTTTCTCTTGTTCTCCGTGTGTCGTGTGGCACAGAATAAGTGGGAAGCAATGGTTCCTCTCAAAGTATAATTTTCAAAATGTATTAAGCTACATATGGCTGTACAACTACATGAACAAAAAGCTTTGCGCTGCAATATTTCTTTCTGAGAATCACTTGCACTTCAAAACAGAGTATATATTTATAAACAATAATAAATATTTTATTGTTTTTGCGTTTGACCTCCTTCTGTGAAGACCAATTTTAAATCCCCACAAGTTCAGGTTCAGAATCTAAAGCCTGAAACTTACACACCCATTCCCTCTTGTTTTCTGCATTGCTTTTCACTCTCCTTTCTCTCTCTCTCTCTTTCAGCAAATACAGTTCTGAAATATTGAGATATGACTTCAGGGAAACAGCATAGCAGAGAGGGGTTTGCTGGGACCATTGGTCTGAAAGGAAAGCAATTTGAAGAATTCTTTAAGACCAGTGGATATTAAGTATCTTGTGGGTAGAGTTACAAACCTCTAAAAAATGAAAGCACTAAAAAAATGCAGTTGGACTTTTGACAGCTTCTCAGCCAGCACTCTCCCTGCCACGAAGGACATGTCATGTCCATGATGGACAGTGGAAGTGGACAGATCTTAGGTTCACTCTGGCTTTTATGTTGTCGTGTTCGGTTCTTTCTCTCAGGGAGAATGGCGTGTTTTGTCTCCCAGAGCATGACTTAGAGAATAATTCCCTTTTACCTCTAATTTACCAACAGATGATAACATGGTTAACTCAATGCAATTTTAAATTCAGTTTTCTGTTTACAACCCAAGCACCCTAAGTGACAGTTAATTATTTTGTTCAGCTAGTCAAAATTAAAAGCCAGGAAAATTTAATTTCATTAAGCACGTATCTGCTTTTAAAATATAGGTATTCTGATTTACTAAAACAGGTATTATGTCTTTAAAGTAAACATTCCCATCCCCCCTTTACACTCATATTCTCTTACAATTCAACTAGAAACATATAAGTAATCTGAATCCCTTGTCTAGCTTTAAAGAGAAGTTGGCTATTTCTGACTTAGAACACAAATTATTAGAATACTATCCCTGAGATCAGTGCTTCTCAACCTGTGGGTCGCGACCCCTTTGGAAGTCGAACGACCCTTTCACAGGGGTCGCCTAAGACCATCGTAAAGCACATCTTTCCAATGGTCTTAGGAACAGAGACACAGCTCCTCTATCCATCTCCAGGCAGGTCTGACACACAGGCAGATACACCCACATACAAGTACCCGGCATGAAGACTGTTACCCATGATACACCATGCTTCAAGACAAAATTTCATGTCTTTGTCATTAGAAATAAATATTTCACAATATATAATTACATATTATTTTGTGATGAATCACTATGCTTTCAGTATGCTCAATTTGTAACAATGAAAATACATCCTGCCTATCAGATATTTATATGACGATTCATAACAGTAGCAAAATGACAGTTATGAAGTAGCAACAAAAATAATGTTATGGTTGGGGTTCCCCACCACATGAGGAACTGTATGAAAGGGTCGCAGCATCACGAAGGTGGAGGACCACGGCCTTAGATCCCACTCTCCATACTGTCAAATGTTCAGACCACATGGCAGCCAAGCCCGGAGTGTTACAAGTTCCAGCTGATCTTCCACCAGACAGACCCTGCCAACTGTCATGCATGGACTGGGCCATCTTGGTCAGTCTGATTAAAATTTTCAGGTGACTGAGCCCCAAACTTCATCCCAGAAGTGGAATTTCCCAATTAACCCAGTCAAATGACACTTCTGTAACAGTCACGGGGCTAACTTGGATGAAAGGTAGAGTGATGTGCATTCCCCCCAAAATCAATTGATTTTTCAATAAAAGAACTGACAGAGCATGTGTGATCATTTTTAATATACTATAGATAATTCATATCACACACACATGCACACACACACAGACACATAATACCTCACTAAAGTAGAGCTGTGATAGCACTGTCTGGTAAACATTGGACTGCTGGCTCTTAGGTTAGTAGTTCAAACCCAGCCACTCCAGGGAAGAAAGATGAGGCTGTCTGCTCTGTGAAGATCAACAGCCTTGGAAACCCTAGAAAGAATCACTATGAATCAGAGTCGACCTAAAGATAGTGGTTTTGTTTTTCAACCAGATTTGAAGGAACTCTGCGGGTGCAATGGTTTAGCCCTTGTTTGCTCATCAAATTTGGCAGTTCAAACCCATTCCTTGGCTCTGGAAGAAAAAGACCTGCTTCCCTCAAACTTACAACACAGAAAACCCTACTGGACCTGTCTACTCTGTCACACAGAGTGTCTATGGGTCAGATTCATCTTCAAGGCATCTGGAGAAATGGCATGTGGGCCAAGTCTGACCTCTCCTGGCGACACAAGGCAGAAGGGAACTCCAGCTCCACACTAGCCCAAGGCCAATGTCAGCCATCCCTCTGCCCTTCATGCTTCTCTACCCTTGTCTCCCAACAGCCATTCCTCCCATGACTTCTCTGCTGGGTTCAATAATCCATTATACATGCTTTCCAGAGTTCCCAGAAAACAGGCTCAATGATCGGTTTTATGAGTGTAGTTAGGTTCCTACCAACCAAGATCAGAAAACATTAGAACACAGTCATTGTTCCACAACTGGGTTTCTCCTCAACCGGCAACCAAGTGCCTCTCTGGCCTGAAGAGGCCTTTGTCCCTTGGGCTTTGCCTCTGTGCGTCAGGAACGCTGCCCAATGCTCTGCCTCCTGGTCTCTGTTCCTCAGCCTCTGTTGCCTCTCCAAGTTCAAGCAGGGATCTTCCATACATGCTCCAAGGTTGCTTTTCTTTCTGGGTCGTCTTGAGGATCCCTGTTCCTGCTTCTCAGATGTCTCTCTTGTATCCATGAGAATGGCAAAACTGACCAATCCCCACTTGAGAGCCTCCTGCATCCTATTTTCAGGATCTCACCTAAACACTTAATAGGAGTTATAGATAAATGGACCATCATTGAGTAATTCCATTTTAGCACAACATATAACAAGCACTGTCAGATTCATAAGTGGATAATGAGGAGGAGGAAGAAAGGAATTTCATAGATTGGATCCAGTAGCATTATTTAAAATATAGTGAATGAGCTTTCAGTTTAATGATAGTCGGCCATATTTTTCAAAAAATGCGGTGATATCAGTGGGACATAATTGGAAAGAAAAGTGTGAATTCATGGCAACTCAAAAAGATGAGTAATCACCTGGCTTTTTTCCTCTTTATAATAAGGAATAGTCCACTTAAAGGCTGTAGTCTTTGTCTTTATCAGTAAGTATTTCAAGTCCTCTTCACCTTCCTGATTAATAGAGAAAAATAGAAAATATGAAGAATTTTATTTTACCTTAATGCACAGTCATCTTAATTTTTTTAGAAGATCATCCTGAATGCTGTTTTGAAAATTGGGCACAGGTAAGGGAGCAGAGGCAACTTGAAACAATCCAAAGATGCTGCTGCCTTGCATCAAGGTGATGGCAGTAGAGATATGAGAAGCCGTCAGATTCAGAATACGTTCTGCCTCTCGGACTGCACTGAATGTTGTTAGA